ACCGAAGGACTGCTTAACCTAGTTAACTGAAAACACTATAACATATAGTGATCTTCCATCCATGACCCAGGGAGCTTATTCTTTATTTGCACTGCTGCATGTGACCACATCTCCAAAGTGTAGAATTTTGCCTTATTAACTTGGCCAGTTGACAGCTCAAGTTACACAATGTCATGAAAATATGTACGCTATTTCCTGGTGTTAAGATTGTGAGACAGCAGGCATCTTATGACTAAATGTTTTGGCCTCCCAACAACAATTTTCATTTAATTCTAACTGATAATCATCTGAGAAGCAGCAACATCCGATTGTGTGATATGGCCTTACCATGAATTAATTTATCCCTCAGTAAAACATCAAGAGTTTATAGCTTCCCAGAGAATTCAGTTGGCACATATTGCAGTTTGGACTCCTGATGACAGGCATGTAGTGGGACTGATGTTTACCAAAACAACTTACCATACCACAATATTCAACATTTTTGGAAGTCAGTTCTTACAAAGTTGTACTGACAACAAATACTCACAGCTCTAGTAGCCTTTAGGGTTTTTTTTTCTTACTGAAGTGACTTCATGAGAGGTGAAGCAGAGTTGAGCCAATGCAGTGTTGAATGGTGTTATTTTATTAATCCACAAGTGCACTCCCTGACTTCTGCCATTAACTTGAGATTCAAAGCCAGCTAAGAGTCTGACTGGTGACACCATGACGTGCATTGTTAAAAATTGCCAGCTGAACATTATGTCCTTACTTGAATCAAAACACTTGTTGGCCAAAATACATAGACAAAGCTCCTAACAGCTGACAGAAAAGTGAGAATCACGGCCAAAAACACAGTCAAATGTTTTCCAGGAAGCAAGATGTTTGTCAGGGATTTAAGCTGCAGTGTTAAAATGAAGTCAGCTGGTATTTTTTCAAAGTTGCGCGAAATGTTGCCCTGATTATGAGGCAACACAAGTTCTTTTATCCAAAGAAAGAATACAGAGTTTGGATTGTTTTTTTCAGAGCACCCTAGCTGTTGAGAGTGGGGTTTGGATTTCTCATTGTCTGTCCTTGTTTAGATTTCCCATATTGTTTGTGCCTTTCAATCTCCTGGTTGTGCCTTTACACTGTAAAAAATTAACAATTTGAGAAAACTCTAAGGCAACCATCTACCACCGAGATATTTTTTCTTAGACTATTTAACTTAATTCCTTAAATTTTGTGCCTTTGTTTGTCCAACTTCCACTTATGTTGTTAGCAGCTGCAGTACCACTCATTGTTTCATTGACCAGACTTTGTCAATCTACAGCTCTGGACCCAACACTCCATATTTGACTTTCACTGTAACCATATTTCTAACAAAGTATTGATTCAGGTTATATAGCAAACCAACTAAACTTCTGTCTTTGTATGTCTTTGTTTACGAGTGTGTCACTCTTTGTACACCATTGTAAGTATATGTGTACAGTATGTATGTATATAAAATATATTATTCAAAGTTAATCACCAAAGGGAAAGCATTTTTCTGTTTGTAAATTTAACTGTGTTATACTCTGTCCAAATGTACTGTAGGATTTTGGTTATGGTTTTTATGTCATGAGCTCTTTTGTATAGTGACTCTAATGACTTTTCTGTAGACACTTTTACAGTTATTAACTCGTTTGTGACCCAGAACTACATATCTATGTGTGCTGTGCCTTCCAGTCCTCCTCATTAAAGAGTAACTTAACACCAGGCTGAAAGAGAGTTTTTTACTACCCTCTCTGGTTGAAATCAAACTTCTTTTGCCTCTTACCACAGGCCATGCCCAACAGTGATGTCACAGTGTCCTGAAGTACACTTGTACATCACTGCAGCAAGGTGAGAAGTTAAACCACAGGAGGTCAGCAAAAATGAAAAACATTTTCGGGTGGTGTTAAGCTCCTCTTAAAGTTTGTGTGTTGCTAACACTGTTGTTTTGCAATTGCCTTAAAGTAGAACAAAGATGAATGTCTCTGTTGGAGCGATATTTCACTTCTCTAAAATGTTTTCACAAGAGAGCATGATTTTTACACAGCCTCAAAAATGTTAAGTACAAACTCTGATACAGATATAAACTCTTGTTCCCAATGAAAATATTTCATACATTTTTAACTTTTATTTGGGTCAAAATCAGTTCCAATCATCTGATGTGTAATTAGAATTAGATAGATTTAAATGTAATCTATTTTTATTTTGTCATTTTGTTTAACAAGAAGACAAAAAATAATCATTCTTAAGGGAAACACACACTGGCAGCACCCATTGTTTTCTATGCCCTCCATGCATTGTTTTCTATGCAAGTCCAGCAGTATCGACAAGCCCATTATTATGCATGACAGTGTCCTTTTTCCTAGCATTAACGTGTGTCAACTTTCCTGAAAAGCTATAGTTTTATCACATTAGCTCCCCATATTAGCACATCTCGACTATTGTACCCTGACTACTTCTTATGATGACTGAATGGTACATCCAGTGTTTGCTATGGGCTTCAGTTGATATTACATTTCAAAGCCGGTGTGTGTTGCAATACCAAAAAAATATTCATCCCAAATACATAGAATGATAATATGTACAGAATTAGGAGCGCTTACTGCGATTTGTTCTTCCAAAGTGAAACATTGCTTCTTTTTTTGTCAAATTTCAAATTTTTCCAAGCCTCAGATTTAACAAATCGTGTACCAGTAGTTTGTAGAAAGTAATCGTGACACAGACATAAATGTGATTTCCAAACTATCTATACTGTAATGCCAATATCAATGAATGTCCACCCAGAGTCATAGTGTTGATATCCCAGCAACAATAAAAAGAAAGAAAAGAAAGAAAAGTCTGAATCATTGTGTTTTTCTGTTTTTATTTTTAACATCAAATGTGCCTTTTCTAAAATGAATAAAGCTAAAATATTGTTATTTGATTATTGAACTTATTCTAAGAGTCGTACTTTATCTTACATGTTTAGCCTTGCTATTGTGGCTCCTCCCTGTTATCCACCAGTGTTTTTGTTCATATGACATCCAAAAAGTCAGTAACAGGCAAACGGGGGAACACTCAGGGTCACAGACTGATCATGTATGTTTCAGGACTAGCAGGTTTTTATGCTAGACCTAATAATCCATAGACCTTGAGACTTCACACATTTTAAACAACCTTGACTGTTATCAGATGACTTGACTGTTTGCTGTGTGGTTGTGCATTTGTTCAGAAGTGACAAAAAGCTTAGTAAAAATGTATATGTCTCTGTTGAAGTGTTATGTCTGGACTACAGTTGCCAGAGAACATTAGTTTACATTGAATTGAAACATTTGACTCCAAATTTAGTTTCAACATTGCTTCCTGTCTGCTGAATCTGTATATGGTATAGTCTCCATAGAAAACATTTTGTCACAAGTTGTTATTTTCTCACCTGATAGGAGTATCCATGAGAACACATTGGAGAAATGAAAGTACAGGAAGAAGACAGAAGAGAGGAATGCTGCGAGGACCTGCGGTGGACAACGAATGATAGCCCTCATCCCTAAAGTATTTTGATTTAGTTTATGTCTGCGTCTGTTTACCTAAATGAACTGAAACTAACGCCACAACACATGTTCTCACTCCCTCTTCTCAAATACTGCCGTATTACATGACGTAACTTAAGTAATTACTTACGTAATGTACCTGACATAACTTAAGTAAGTTAACAAACTTACACTGTTTATGTGTTGACTTTTTTTGGTTTCACATCGGACATTTCAAACAGCGGCCTCCTGAGTCCTGTGTTTGTTTGACACATCCATCCACCCCACCACCTCCATATGCAGATTTTCTTGCTCTTTATTTATTACTGCATCATCTCACTTCAGTGGCAGGCGTGTCCAGAATGACACTAAAGCTGTACCTACAGCGTCCTATTTTAAAGCAGATGGCCACTGACCAAGTCATAGTATTTGATTACTTTGGACTAAGACTGGGTTGAACGCCAAGCCCAGTGCATGATTGACAACCCAGGAAGCACAGTTGAGTGTGAGACACTCAGGGAACAAGTGGAGCAGTGGCAGAGCCCACCTGGGTTTCAGGTAAGGCCTGCATTATTTTCTTGTTGACTGGCAACCAAGGCTTTTAGCATTATGTGATGGCCTGGTAGTAGATGGTACAGCCATAAGTCTTAACAATAGTAGAGAAACATCCATCTCCCTACATTTATAATGATTTCACAATATTTTGTGAGGTTAGGCTACTTTATTATATCTTTATATAATGAACAGATGACCAAACCTACTACAGGTATGTGAGTATGTGAGATGTTTTTTTGTGATAAAATATCACACTTTTCTGTCATTGCAAAAACGAACAAAACAAGAAACAAAAACTGACTCAATAATAAAACTGAAAGTCTGAAAGTAATCGCACAATGTGGACTGTGAAATAAAGCAGACACTAAATTAAGCTCTGCACTACACATTTGTGGGACCTTTATTACTACCCCAGAGAATGTCTAATAAGGAGAG